AAGGACAGCGTGACTCCTGTTGTTACACCAGCAGCTCACCTCCCATCCTTCCCTCACCACTCTGGCAGAAATAAGAGCTGGAACCCCCCTCTTCTGCCCTCACTAAACAACAGATTTGGGGATAACCAAGTTGCCATGTGGGGACCACTGTGACCTGAGGACAGGGAGAGGAAAAGACACACTAAGAGGTACTCGCCGTGGCCAAGAACCATGCTGGCCACTCGATGTGAGCAGCACGTTGAATTTGGAGGACACTGACAGGGTGGAAGGCCTCTGGAATTGTGTGGAAATCACTAAATTAAGTTCAAAAAAACATTATTCAATACTTGCCTTCTCAGGACTGATCCTAAAACAGCGTCAAGATGGGAGAAGAATTGGGAGAAAAGGAAAAGTGCAGAGCAGTATTGAGCAGACAGGTGAGTGAGATCAGAGCTGGGAATTACCTCTGTTGTTCTAGAATCATCCTTTGGGGTTCGAGTGTGCACAGTAGGGTGCCTATCACAGCAAGTATTTCTCATTGCTCTAATATCTAGGCTGCATTCCTTTCCTTTCCTTCATGTTAGGGACATGAATGTCAAGTTTACCCACACTCAGCTAATGGTAAGTTTAAAAAAAGAGTGAATGTGTTACTAAAGATCAAGGGATGAAAATGTTCACAGACATTTGAGTCTACCACCTGCCAAGTAACCTAATCTAATGCTCTGCTCTAATCTAATACTGAGGAGACAAAGAGAAATACAGGGCTCCTCACAGCACACACTGCAAATTTCAATGTGAGGCAATCGGTTCTAGTCAGAAATAAAGACTCTGAGGCTATAAAATGCATCAGAGGATCATTGGCCCAAAGAGTCTCAGGATTGGTTACAAGGAACAGATGGCTAAAGTGAGACTCGGGAGGGGCCATCTTTTTCTAGATTGAGAAGATGACAGGGTAACAGTGTTTCTGGGAGAGAGGACAGCCAGAGCGAACTCTTAAAGCTGGGCAATAACCTCCCATTTGGGAAGCTATAAGCAGCTTACGGACAAGGTGGAAGTGTCCCAAGGAGGTGGGGGTGATGGGGAGAGATGGGGGCAAGGCAAGCTGCCACCAGGAAATGGACCCTGCTGTTGAGAAGAGAGGGGGGCAAGATCAAATAAAGCTTGTCTGGCATTAAAAAATATCTATCGTGGACTCTCAAGTTTGATGCTCCCCATTTTTTTGCACATGGCTTGTTCTCACTGGACTCAGTTTCTTCATTTTCTCATATTTTAAAAAACGCTCTATCTTTGGAGAGACAGGGAAGAAGAACAGTATTAGCCTGAGACATCCAGATCAATCCAGGTGCTCCCTGGCAGACAATAACACTTCTATAATATAACTGAAGGTGTCCAAAACTGACATGCTTCTGTCACCCATGACCTAGAACTCCACTGTCCAACTGGGTCATGCTCAGCCCCACTTAGCTTTCAAATGCTGCTTAGTCAGAATAGGAATATGCTCTGAGAGTAAACACACACCAGAGTTTAAAGACTTAATACAAAAAAAAGGAACATAATATCTCAATTTCTTATAATATAATGGATGCATGTTGGAATGATCATTTTGCTATGAGTCAGGTAAAACCTATTATTAAAAATAATTTCTTCTGTATCTTTGTACTTGTTTCAGTGTGACTACCACAGATAATCTTAAATTACCAAGGAGGCTCATATCATGCTCTGGACAGAGCTGTGTCCAACACCAGTGCAGCCCTTTCTGCATCAGTGTGCCTCCTCTTCTTTGGAAAGAGTCTTGTAAATTAAAATAAAATATTCACAGAAATCAATAGTTTTGATGCAGAAACTTTATCAGAGACATGTAAAAAGAAAAAAAGTCTGATGGGAAGAACTGCCAGCTTTATCTCTCTCCACACTGAGTGAGCAGTAGGTTACCAAGCATCATACACAACCAAGAATGTGAGAGGAGATTCGTGCCTTGCGCACCAATGTGACGAGGGCTGTGCAGTGCCATCTGATATGAGGACTCTGTTGTCAAGGCCACCATTCAGAAAGCCCCTGGCGTCTTGCTTTGCTCTATGTCACAGACTATGATCTCTCAGTGAAAGGTGAGGCTGATGGTTTTCCCACCACTAACTATTCAGTTCCACCCATCACCTAATCCTGACTAGCACCACAGGCAGTGAGGACAGTGGGAAACAAGGATGAGAAACTCCGTCTCCCTTCCCACACAACAGTATCACACATGGGCTCATGACCAATGCCTCTCCCAAGTTTTTGTATCTATTTATTTTGAAGTAACACCAAGAAAAGCTGCAAGAAAAGTGCAATGGGCTCTCAGAAACTATTCACCCATACTTTTAGATTTCCCTTATTAACTTATTTTTCAGTTACAGTTTACATTTCAATGTTATTTTGAACCAGTCCCTATTAACTTTTCATCACATTTGCATTATTATTCTTTCTGCATGACTGTATGTGCATTACATGTATATAGTATCACACATACACATATTGGAGTTTTTCAAATCATTTCAGAATAAGTTGCAGAAATGATACTCTTTACCCCTACTTATCATGGTATGTTTTTTCCAAAGAACAAGAACATTCTCCTATATAACCATATGACAGGCATAAAAATCAGTAAATCAGTATTAATATATTTCTACTCTTTTATCTACAGACCTTAAAATTTTGCCAGTTGTCCCAATACAGCACAAACATTCTTTTTTTCTGTTCTAAGATGCAAGGGTTTCATTTGATAGTCATGCCTATTTTTCCTCTTCTTTGATGAAACACATCTTCATTCTTTTCATATCTTTAATGAGTTGGTGATTTTTGAAAATGAGAAGCAAGTCTTGTATAGAATGCCCCTCATTTTTGGTTTGTGTGCTGGTTTCTCGTGGTGAACTTGGTTACAGTTCTTGGCTGGAAGACTATGGAAATCTTCCTGCGTCTTTCTCAGCACATTGAGTCAGGAGGCTCACAGTTGCTCCCTGCGCCGTTGCCAGTGCAGGTGCATCCAACCTAGTGGTTATGGGGAAACTGACCAGGTCCTTCCACCATCAAGTCACAGTTTCCCTCTTACAATTAATAAGTATTTTATAGGTAAATACTCTGAGAATACATAAATACCTTGGTTATCATGAAACTCTCACCCATAAATATCAGCATTGATTTTGGCATTCTACAGTAAGGAAGATCAGTCCCTTCTGCCTCAATTGTTTATTCATTTTTTGTTAGTATATACTCATGAATTCTTAGTTTATTCAATGTGTTATAACCTGATACCATCATTATTTACTTTAACTTTAACAATCAAATTGTCCCAGATTTCTTCAGTGTGCCCCTTTCAACTTGACTCCTAGCTGCTTTCATCATGCCCTCATTGTTCTGTGAATACTTCCTTAGTTTGGGAAACAACCAACTTTTCCAGGTTTAGCTGGCACTTTTATTACTCAGGCCCTAGAATCAGCTACTTTTATAAGAAGCCTTGGTCTGTCCGGGTGGAGAATGAAATTTAGAAAGCTAACACTGTGTATTAAGTGTGCTCATAGCTGCTTTCTAGACCCTCTAAACCAAGAGAGCTAGGAAATCAGTGAATGTGCCTGTACATGCACATACCTACATTCTACTTTTTTAATATGCCAGATAATATATTTTATCATGAGAATCACAATGAGCATAATACAGCATTCCTATCTAATGAAAGGCCTATATTTTTATAAAATGTTGCTTAAAAATCAGTTTTAAAATGATATTTTGACTAAACTGCTGATCATTCTGAGTCATTATTAATGCATTAAAATTTTACTAACCAATCAATTCATTTAAAGACTTTAGTTATATACTAAATTTCAGTAGAAAGACAATTCATTGCCCGGTGTGATGAAACAATTTGGATAATAATATATTATTTATTATTATTATTCCATTTTAAAAGCATAAGCAATTACCACTTGTTCAGGAAGCACTGCGTCTTATCTCTTGTGCAGGCCTTACTGTATTTATTTTACCAGTGACACTCTGGGAAAGACAGTGCTTGTGGCCACTTCACAAATGAGGAAACCCACCAGGTCTCCTCATCTTCAAAGACCCTGCTTTTTACAAATACTGGCTTTGCTGGTGGGACTGGCTTATTTTAAGGCCCTGGGGAATCAGAGATCTAATATGAAGCTCCAGCTCCAAAGTTTTCAAAATGTTCATAAACACCAGCATCACAGAAGAATATAAACTCTCCAATCACTTCTTAGAACTCAAGGACATTAAAAGGGTGGCATTAAAAGCAATTGAATTCCAAGTGACACAGGCCCAGGATTCTGGCATGTGTTACAGGGAGCTCTAGAACCCTGGTGAAGGAGATATTTTTGCCATAACCCTCTCCTTCTCCAAGGGCACCCTTATCAGACCCTGGCAAAAGACTAGAGGGCAATGTGGGCCTTTATGTTTCAGATCCACCAACAAAATAAATACGCCACTCACACATGAGAGTACCAGGCTCCTTCTCCAAACAATAAACACAGACATAAGGAAATCGCATTTTTCTCTATCATCACTTATTCTTTGCTGTATATAGTTTTTAACACATATTTATGTTTACTTAATTATAAATTATAAAGAAGAAACAATGACTTTCTAAGGGGGTTGGCTTTTACAAGAATATGATAGCTAATAGCATCAAGATAAATAATCAATGACTATTCTAACTAGGACAGAAAAGGATGCTCCCAGACACTGAGGAAGTGTCCTTTGAATTATCTATCACTTGCGGCAGAGAAAGTCAGATGAGGCCCATGAAAGGAATTGGGGCTGCACAGAGGGAGAAAAGGGCCAAGCATGGAGGTAAGTGGGTGATGACTCATCTCAAGTAGGGCAGCCAAGAGTCCTGAGGCCTGACCCACTGATGCAATGAATCGCTGGAGCAGCCTAATTAGTACCTTTCTGTGCATCTGTCTTCATTCCCTCAAACAGTGAGCTAATTTGAATGGAAAATGAAAGCTTGAAAAAAAATAAATTGCACCTACCTGGATCAGAGACAAATCCTCAAGCTGTAACCTGAAGAGGTAGTTTCTACAAAATACAAAAAGAGAACAGGTTTACTTTTAGTAGATCAAAAAATTACAGTTCATACAAATCATGAGAACAAAGGAAAAACAATGACTTTTGGCTTCCAAAGCATCCTGCTGCTAAGACTGTATGTAGCACAATTTTCCTGAGACCTCAGAGTTCAAAATGGCATTTGATAATTCAACAGACACACATTCCAGATGGGCAACAGAGTTAAGGAACAAGGTGTGTGTCGGCCCATGTATGTGCATGTGTGAGACTCAGGTAAATCTACATTATTAATTGGCTCTCTTGATCTATGTGAATGGACAAAAGGACATGGGTATCCTATTCTGAAAGTAAATTTAAGTGAGATGATATAAAACCATTCTTCATATATCATTTTTACAGGTAATCTAACCCACCCAGTTTTATAATTAAAACATGTCCAGGTTTTGAGTTCAACAATGGTCTAAGTATTAGAGTGCTCTGTCTTGTCAGATGGATTTAGTGTATCATAAGTTTAAAAGCAGGATCTTTTCTGCCATCAAGGACTCGAAAGAGTCAGCCCTGCCTGTGTGTCAAGTGTGGAAAAAAATCAGAGGGAAGGAAACTATCAGCTTTCAACAGTGAAGGGGAAGAACAGAACAGTGCAATATACAATCAAGGTCAGTAGAGCACCGAGAGAAAAAGCCATAGGTATCGGCCACATGAGGCTTTGGACCCTATTACCGTGGCTTTTAGAAAGAACAGATGGGCCTCCCTCATGTGAGATGCTTTGGCTTCTAACTCAAATTGAAAAGGAACTTCATGCACATGAGGAACAGAGCACAGGAGCAGAGGCAGGGAAAACTGGCAGATAGCAATGGAAAGCAGACCCCGAGGATGCAGGACAGTGGGAAGGAGTCCCTGTGAAGCTAAGGCTATGTCGTAAGGGGCCGGTCCAAGGTTGAATCTTTAAAAAAAAAAAATCAAAAATTATCCAGCACCAGTAAGAAACAAGGTAGATCATTTTAACTACATGGGGAGGCAGGTAGACGTCAGAAGCAGAGGCTATCCCAGTAGAAGTAACAAGTAACTGTCCAGGGAGGCCAAGGGCATAGCGTAGAGGATGAACAGCCATGCCTCTGGTGTGCATAGGCATGGGGAGAACAAAGCAACAGGGCAGTTGACATCCAGCAGCACCCACACTGCTGGAGGAAGAAACGAGACGCTGCTCCCTTTCAGGGTGGTCTCAGGCATCTCAAGGACCAACCTGGGGTACTCAGACTTCTCATAATTTGTCCCCCACCATGGGGGCACTGCCATCTGGCAGTCAGCGAAAGTTGCCTCCCCCAACCACTGTAATAGTTTCTTTGCCACGTTCTTTGTGTCCCTGCAAATTAATCTCTGAAAATAGCCCCAGAAGCATGGCTGGCACATGGCACCTTACCACATAGCCATCTGGGGGAAACTTCCCCTCTCTTTATTACAGGTGAGTCCCAGCCTGTAATGAAGAACCAGATTAAGGAGGCCTTCAAGGAAGTAGCAGAGTCTATTTTTATTTAGTCGGGCACCATGCAGAGGCAAGGTTTCCAACAGAAACATCTTCCTGTGAGGGAAGCATGTGAATTCTGTGCTCGTATGGAATACCTAGCAAGGTCCCTCGCTAGGTAAGCTTCCCTAGAGGTTAGCCTGCATTTGAAGAGTTGCCAAGATTTCACCTGATGTAAAATAAAGGCCAGCAGGGCTCCCCTAAGAGAAATTAGAAATCTGTGCACACACAGTGAGATAAGTCTTTCAGGTGAGGAGCACACAAGTGGCTCCAAAAGTAATTACTGGCCACAAGGCAGGCCAGTGGCTCCTGACTCTCAGGCTGGGTTTATAAGTGGCCTCCTGGCTGTAGAGAGCTGCCAGTGGTCACTGCCCCTCTGTTACAGGACACCTAGTGGTTCAGATTATTTGTGCAAAAGCCAAAGCTCTATCACTTTATAAAAGCTCAGGAAGAAAGCTTCAGCACTTTATGCCTCAGTCTTCTCATTTGTGGAATGGAGCAAAGTCATAACTCCCCCCCTGAGGTGGTTGTAAGATTTAAATCCCTCCCCCACACCAAAAAAAAAAAAAAAGACAACCTACTAAGACCCCTGTCTCTGACACTTGTAAAAATGCAACCAATACAGCTACTACTAGACAGTTCATAAGAAATACTAAAATTTCCAGACACAATGAAATTCTCAGTATATTCTCCATGGCTGAATTTTGGGGGAAAAAAAGACGTTGTTTTTATTGTCTTGATTCTAGAACCCTGTTATCATGCTCTTTCCAACTCTCTGGCTCTGTAAATATTCTTGATTTTTTTTAAATGCTCATATTTTTAATTAGTAAATTACCTGAGGGCTTTGATGATATTACACGGCCATCCTGTGCCTCCCCCACTCCACCCACCACACGCCCCCCCACCCACACACATACATATGTGCATCCCACACCAGAGTATCTAGCACTGGGAACTTTCGAGAAAGGCAGCTCCCACGTGCACAGGAAGAGCTGAAAGTGCTTTCACAGCATTGAGGTGAGAAGATGGTGGTGTCCCTGATGTTCTGCAGACCTCTAGGTGGGACCACTGAAGAGAAGCATTTGAAGTCCTCTCTCCTGGGGGAGAGGCTTGCAGGAGGAACAGAGATCATTCTCTGAAACCCCTGGGTCCAGTTTCCAGCTGTTTTCTGTGGGGTAAGTACGACATACTGAATATTTGAGTTTTCCCAAAATTCATGTTAAAAATCCTAACCCCCAAAGGAGATGGATGGTATTAGGAGGTGGGGCCTCTGAGAGGGGTTTTGATCCCTCATGGACGGGATTATTACCCTCATAAAAGAGGCTCCAGAGAGATCCCTAATCCCCTCCACCATGTGAGAACACAAAGCTAGAGGCTGGCCATCTGCAACCTGGAAGAGGGCCCTCATCGAAACCCAGCCATGCTGCCACCCTGACCTGGGACTTTTAGCTTCCAGACCTATGAGAAGGTCCCTGTTGTTTATAAGCTACCAGTCTGTGGTATTTTGTTACTGCAGCCCAAATGGACTAAGATAGGAAGACACTGATTTTTTATGACAAACATGCTACATCTCATCTCCCAAGCAATTTTACCTCTGCTGACGATTCTTTCCCTGCCCTTCAGGCCCCAGTTGTCTGTAAAAGGTTCCACCACCCCTCCCTACCAGCCATCACCAGTGGATTTTAACTGTTTACTCTGCATTCACCAAACACCTCAGTATGGTGCCCTCAACAGCATCTTCTCAGCAACCACTCGGTATGGTAGGGGTGTTAAATAGGTGGATGGGAGGGGCAGAGAGGAGGAGCATGCTTCCTACAGAAAACAGCACAGTAATTATCAGATATTATCACTGCTGCCACCACCTCCACTGCCATCTTGATGAGGAGGAGCACCAAAGATTTGAACTGTTTCTTTGGTACACTCGGGGTTACAAGATGCAAGTTGTTGATTTTTTTAACCCACCTTCAAATTTTTTATCTATAAAAATAATAGAGTCCAAGAATTCCAGAGCTGGATTGGCATTCGAATTCCAGGGGGTATATGCCACTCAATTTGTAGGTAGAAAACCTTTTTTCAAATTAAGATGTACAATGTGATTTATCCAAGATTACTAGGATTCAGAGAAAATCCTGAAACCAGGATTAGAAACCAGCCTCCCTCCTTGTCTATTGTGTTACGTGGCTTTACCAATCAGGCATCCAATGCCCCCTTCCTAATTTCACTGGCAGTAAACACACACACACACACACACACACACACACACACACACAGCAATAGCTCTTCAAGTACAATTATTCCATGCCTTCATTGTCCAGTCCACATTTACAAATCATTTTGAGAAGACCCATGGTTTAGCACTGCTAATGACAACCTTTTGATTCTAGGTAATTGATTCTGGCCTTTGGGACTGTGATCTGACCGTAACATGTATGTGACTGCCCATTAAGAGAACATACTCATCCTGCTGGTCTGGCTGATGAGACAGTACTTCCTTTCTTCCTCCTATTTCTCATAAATTCTTCCTGAAACTGACTTATTTTAAGAGTGCTCAATTTTCTTCATTTATGAAATGAGAAACTATGTTATCTGTCTGCATATTTAAATAACACAAATTTCTGCAAAACCTTGACCATTTTTACATATATGAAATGACCAACACAGTTTGAGGAACATGTGACCATATCATGAAAGACTTCAAAAGATTTATCATATTTTTTCAATAAATTCCTGAAAATATACCTTTCAAGCACATTATTTTAGTTTTTGCCAATGAATAACACATTTTAACTAATCTGAAATGTCAGCATTTAAAATACAATTCTTTACTAATAAAAATTTATTCAGTAAGTATTTACCTATAATATGTCCATCGTAAAGTTTGTTGACTATGATGATTTGAAAATTTTAAAATCAGAATGATCAGATCTATACACTTGCATAGCCTCAACAAAGATTCAAGGTCTATTTTTATGTCAGTTGGTTTGTTACATTTTTGTTGCTTTTTAAAATTTGTTTGACTTTGGAGACAAAGAATTGGTAGGTGTTTTCAAATATGTGTTCAGTACATGACCGTGGTCTACACAAACCTCAAGGAAACAACTGAATGACTTGCTGAACTTTTCCCTATTAGAAATATGTAATACGATACATTTCAGCATTCACTTTATCTGTCAAGATTTTCAGCGATTTAAAAAATATTTTAAAAGATGAAGTAAAAATAAAATATTTGTGGAATTTCCTAGTCCCCTCATTAGAACCTAAGAATCTGACAAAACACAGTGTGGATTCTACTATTCTCAAACCTCTTTCCTCAAACTATCTACCTCCAAGTACAACTCCAAGTGCATTTTTGCTGTTGGAAAAATTCTAATCCAGCTAGCAAGATGAGGGACCTGAAATCTCCCCATACAACTTGATCCATTATCATTTAGGTCAACGATCTATGGAGTTATAGGTTACAAAAAGAAAGGAAATCTTCTAAATGGAATTA